CGCATCTCTTAATTTACCGTGCTTTATGCTCACTCTAAAAATAGCAAAAATAACATATTCACTTCCTAGCTCTAATGCCACTGGTGCTCTCACAAGCACACATACTACCAAGTCACCTGCTGACCTCTACAGCACGCAAGAGAGCAGTAGCTCACTGCAGGGAGGTGCTTGCACCATATAGAAGGAGCCACTTCCATGCTGACTGAGTTCTGGGCTATCATCAGCATCACCTATATAAAACTGTAGAGCAAAATCCAGCAGAAGTTAATTCAAGTCATTGACAGGTGGTGTTAACTCCTCTCAGGATAGTCTGGTTTCAGGAGACATCCATAAGCTCAGTGATTAGGTTGCTCAGTTTAGCAAATACGTCCCAGTCAAGACTGCAGCAAGGACAAGTACTCCTCTCAAGGAGCAGTTTTCACACCCTAACTTGTGTCTTAGAATCACCAGGACAGCTACTGGCACTCAGACAAGAGGGGGCTATAAAGCGCTGTAGATCTTCCATCAGTCAGCCTTTGACTTGAAATGGAGAAGTTAATAACATAAGCACACGGCTCAGGGTAATTCCTATCAAATTTAAATTGGGCTCTAGTAATTGAGGCTCCTTCTATTAAACAAAATTAAAAATCCCACAGTTCAGCACACTACATTTTAAAAGGACAGAGATAAATTTTCCTGCCCTAGAAACACAGCCCTCAGGCTCCCTGACTATTTGCTACAATATTCCTCAGCTGGCAAAAAGGAAAGCTGGCAGCAACCCAAGGTATTCACACAAAGCATTGTAATTAGAAACTACTTAGGGCACCATATATGCTAATAAAAACATCATTAACTAACTTGTGAAGAGTCTCTTCTTAGGGGAGGGAATCTTTGCTAACAACAACATAATTGTTGTGCACTGAAGTCCTGAAGTCCACAGCAACAATTTGAAGCTGGGGGGGGGGGCAGGGGGGAAGTGAAGATAGGGAAAAAGAGACATTTGGAAGATGGTGGGGTGGAGGGAAAGTGATTCTGAGGAACAGAATAAAGCAGGCTTGTCTAACAGCACAATGGCATAAAGCAACTGGGTCTGCAGAGAGTAGTACTTAGGCACAGAAAAGTAAGGGATTTTGCTAAGTGTGCTGCCAGTTTGAGATTCTCTCGATCCAAAAAAGGGAAAAAAAGGAATAAGATAAAAGGATTAAGAAGCTCCCTCCTTTTGTAATTAAGTAAAATGTGAATTTTCCGCAGCAAAGAGCTGCCAGAGAGCCATGTACCCTCTCCAGGATCTCCTCCAGGACACATGCCAAGCTTTTGCTCCCACCAAGGCTATCATGGAAATGCTTTTGATCTCCATTTTTTCTGCGCTGTTTTCATTCTGCAGAAGTGACATTTCTCATTATTTCCCCACAAAATTGCACTTCTGGCTCCTTCACTACTCTTGCCTGCAATTCCAAGTTTCCTGACACAGAAGAAATAAAATACTGTACCTATTATCCATATGAACCAGAAGTTATTTGTTCTCCATGACCAATCTCTGGCTGGCTGGCCTGTATATTAAGCTGCTTCAACTAACTCAGTTATTCCTAAAAGCTTTTAAACCCAACAATGACCAGCGTTTCCAAAGGCTTGTAACATGACAAGTGGCTATCTGAAAGTTGATTCAATGCCTCAAGGGGGTGCTGAGTGCTTCCAGCTGGCTTCTCTGAGCACCCAGGATACAACTCCTTTTCAGAAGCAGCCGCACGGATTTCCAGTTTCTCCCAGCTGACTGGAGGCGGCCAGCAGGCACACTGGTTCTCATAGAGCATTGCTGAAATAAGCGCTTGTGACTAAGGTACTGATGAGTGGTTTCTCCACAGTCTCCAAGCTGGCATTTTCCCAGTTTGTTGTGCAGAGAAACTCATGAAAAAGGAGAAGAAAACTCATGAGAAAGGTGAAACTCAGGAACGAGGAGCACAGACCTGCTGCTGTTATTTCCACCTGCCTCCTCTACCATGCTTAAGGTTTGAGATTATTGGCATAATAAGGCTTCAGTTAAATCGCAACCAGGGCTCCTCTGCTGTGAAGGCTCCACATCAGCATGTAGACACAGCAACAGCTGGGGAAGCACAGGGCACCCTGACCCCAGAATAAGCACATGCAAGCCCTATGCTTGGCCTTGCATTTAGGAGAACATAGCCAAAGGCAGGCAATGTTGAAAAAGCAGGAAGTTCTAAACACAGCTATCAGCATTGACAAAACTTCCAGACTACAGCAGTGGAACATGAAGCCTCACAGAAAAATTGCAAAGAACAAGGGAAGAACAACAAGCCTCAGAGCAGAAAAACCACTCGGAATACATGTATTAGTACATTATGAAAACCAGCAATTGGCCCAGGGGTTGGGCGAGGCTGGAAGCTTTGGTTCATCACTGTTGTAAGGAAGATTACGAGAAAGAGATTAACAGTGGGAGAAATTTGTTCCTGAACAGCAGATGAGAAGGAGCAACACAAGACAAAGTAACCAAAATCCCAGATACAAATTAAAGTGAGTAAGGTACTGAGAAGCATCATATGTTTAGCTGTAAAATGGGGATGGCTCTAATACAGAGAATGACCTGGAACAGTAGGGACCTCACCCTGGGAAACTTGTCTCAGTAGCTGGCACTCAACATCCACTGACTTTGTTTACTCTATCACTCCAGTTTCATAAAGTCCTAGTGAAGGATTGGGAATACATCGTACAGAGAAGAAAAAGGTGGTCCCTGGCTTGAAGAGGTTACAATTTACAACTAGACATCAAAACCTGTAAGATAAAACTTATTTGTAATATATTCTGAGCAATTTAACCAGGTTTGTGGTGGTCACTGCTCATCACTGTTGAGCACAGAAAAAGGAAATAAAAAAAAGGCAGATGTTTGAAAAATTATGAGCTTAAAAAATGCAGAGGAAACATAAGGGACTAGATAGGAAGGATGGACTCTGTGCCCTAGAGTCAGAGCTCAGTCACAGATTTCCTGGCTCAAATGAGGCAGTGGTTAGTTCAGTAAATATGACTTTATTAATATTCACCTACTTTAAAGAAAAGCTTTGAAAGCCTTAAGACTATGTGAGAAAACAGATTAATACTTCTATCTAAATGTCAAGAACTGAGTTTTGTGTGCTGAAGAGCTAAAAGGGAAAATGAAAAGAATGCAGAGGAGGGCAGCAGAGGGGAGAGAGTAAGCAAGGAAACTCAAATCATGGGAAAGAACCTCAACCTTTGCTACCTCCTGCAATAATTGTTTAGTTATCAGCTCCAGACCACGCAGAAATGGAAAAAACAAGATTTAAGGAAAGGCATTATGCTATACTTCAAATATGTTTTTCAAGATCTGTTTTCCCGTAATAAATAACATACTGAACTGCTAAGTGCCAGTAGATTTCATGAGGGCTACTTTACATCATGCTGCACATTGTAAATAAAAGCACAAGCATTTCCTGCACTTAAGAGCAAAAATCTTCATCACCTGCAATTCACATACAAGGTATGGAGAATACAGTGGGATGTATGAGGACTGACATTACAGCCTGTATAACCACCTCATTTTACCCCAACCTAACATGAGCATAACTGTATTTCTCTATGAACAAGATCACTGCAATTTCACAAGAAAGTCTGAAGATATTTTAAAACACGTGCATAGGGTTTTCCACGTCTTTCAAACTTCTCAGGATAAATGCCGGCATGTCTTAAATGAACTCTACAGTTCTACAGCATATTACTGCATACTACTGCTTGAGGCTATTAAAAGAAACAAACGACCAACTAGGCTTACATACAGTCAACATAATGCACATGAGCCCCATTTTGCCTTTTTTTTTTTTTGAAAAGCCAAATGAAAAGGTGCTTAATTTGAACAATTCACTTCACACACTTGAAAAATCAAGATGAAAACCCTAAGTGATTCAGGTTGCTGGTTCTAATTTCCCAAAATACTAACAGCAGACACAACCTGTGCCCATATTCAATGTCCCAACTCAGGACAACCACAGAGGCATAGAATGGTTTAGTTTGGAAGGGTCCTTAAAGATCATCCAGTTCCAACCCCCCTGCCATGGGCAAGGACATCTTCCACTAGACTAGGTTGCTAAAAGCCCCTTCCAACCTGGCCTTGAACACTGCCAGGGATGCAGCAGCCACAGCGTCTCTGGGCAACCCATGCCAGTGTCTCACCACTCTCACAGTAACAAATTTCTACCTAGTATCTAATCTGAATCTACTCACTTCCAGTTTAAACCCATTCCTCCTTGTCCTATAGCTACATGTCTTTGTAAAAAGTCCCTCTCCGTATTTCTTGTAGACCCCGTTTAGGTACTGGAAGGCTGTTATAAGGTCTAACTGGAGCCTTCTCTTCTGAACAAGCCCAGCTCTCTCAGCCTGTCTTCACAGCAGATGTGCTCCAGCCCTCTGATCATCTTTGTGGCCTCCTCTGTACTCACTCCAACAGGTATTTGTCCCTCTTGTGTTGGGGTCCCCAGAGCTAGATGCAGCACTGCAGGTGAGGTCTCACGAGAGCAGAGTAGAGGAGCAGGATCACCTCCTTCGACCTCCTGGTCACGCTAATTTTGATGCAGCCCAGGATACGGTTGGCTTTCTGGGCTGCAAGCACACACTGCTGGGTCATGTTGAGCTTCTCATCAACGACCTAAGCTCAGACCACCCACCAGCCCATGTGCTGGAAGTCAAGTGCTTTCCAACACCAACAAAAGCTGACAAATGTAAACCTGATGAAACCAGAGGGGAGCTGGAGGTAGCTTGGGCACTGCCTGAATTGTCCTGAGGAAACTGGCTGACGATTCATCTTGCCTCTTCATTTTCCCCACCTGTGAAACTGGAACCTATTTCTTGGTGACTGCTGAGCACCTGCTTTGCAGAGCCTTGCCAAGATTCAAGTCTATACTTACAAAGTCTTCTGAAGATGAAAGTTTTAGATAAAGTATGCCAACACATTAAAAGAGACCTTGGGTAACAAAGACATACAGCAATGCAATACTCACCCGTTCCTGACCAGCTGTGTCCCAGATCAGAAACTTATGAAGCTCATTCCCACAAGGCACTGTTTTAGTCATGAAGGATGCTCTGAAAAGAAGGAAGCAGCAGAAATCTGTAACACAACCAGCACTCTGAATATGCAACTCACAGACCACAGCAAGTTCTGATGGGTTAGACCGCATATGAGGAAACTCCAAAACCTTGATAAAATTCCTACAGAAGTGAAAGTCTCCCTTTTCTCAGATAAAATATATGATACCTACATATCTATCCTAAACGCAGGTAAAAGCCTCTGAGGTTCAGGGGGCATTTGTACACAGGCCCAGGAACACAAATGCTCCTGCTGCTCACACTTCTGCTAACAGCTACCTCCATCTTCTCAGTGATACGGGCCCAAGAAAAAGGCATCAGCCAGCATCATACCAGGCAACAAATGTGCAGTTTTTCAGTTAAACCTAGAATACTGGATCACCAGGGAACAGAAAAGTCACCTTGTGGAATGCATATGGTGAACAAATGGAAAAAAGTTCTTCCCTCTCTCACCTCAGATGAATGAAGTCCTTGTGGCTTCTGGGTTTTGTAGAAGTGATTTCTCTGTGCTTTCACAGTGATTTTTGTTCTTTTAGGAAAGAAGGCTGCAAATTCATAGGCTTTTTCTATATTACAGCATTTCACTTGAAAGCTGCCTAGGAGACCCCCAAACTCTATCAGATTCCCACCCCCCATCCTGTGTGGACACTGATGAACAATTTCTGTTGTGGTAACCTTCTTCCTGGCTCATAAAGATGCATTTGATACAATGCACTGTCATTACAAAAGCACTGAATTATATCAAACAACGTGTCACTGATCAAAACATTTCCTGAGGATGATATACGAGAGTTCTCCTCTACAGCCAACTGAAAATCATTGGAATTTAACAATACTGCACTGCTTATAAAAATATTAAGGCCAAAAAAGCAACAGCGTTTTCATTGGTTGTTTTCTGGTGTATGCTTTCAGCTGCCACTCTCCTCAAAGCATTAAGTAACACTTTACAGCTTCAAAACCAGGAACTTCAGAGCTGCAGCAGCTACTGTAGATTGTATATTGTAGATTGTATATTTAAAATATTTTATTAATTTGAAAGAAAATAAAACCCTTATCTGTATAGACAAGTAATATCACCCACGTGCAAGGCAGCCTTCATGCTTTAATTTTCAAATGGAAAAAAAAAATCCTTTTACTTTTCATAATTATGATAACAGAGGGAAAAATATTTTTCCTATTTGAGCAGAAGACATTTACTTAGCAACAACAGCTACTTGGGGAAAAAGGCTGCTGGTGATTTAGAAGTAAAGAACCATTCAAGTTCCCATCAATTCCTTCACTGCAAGTGTCCTTTAGTCAGTAATGTTATTCATTACTTGCTTCCTTTCTCGCTGTCCATTTTCTCTATTCATCACATTGAGCAGTACAAAATTGCCCTGGAACTTCAACGTGCAACTTCCAGCTGAAAATCCTTCATGCATTGAAAGGCAGAGCTTTAAAAGCTGTCATCTAACCCTCTAAACAACACAAGGCAATCAATACCAACCCTTCACAGATTATTCAAGACAACTCTAACACACAAGCCAGGTCAGCCCTTCCCACCCAAATCACTCCTTCATAAACACTGCATATGAGCTTCCTTTCCTGTAAGAGAACAACAATTTTCAAAATATTCCAGGTAACACAGGACTTGACAAATTTGTCCCCAAGATGTTAAAAGAAAAAGATCTGAAATTAAAATCAACTACAGAATGTTGTGGTTTACGCAGACACAGAATTAATAAGGTTCTGATGGTTTGACACATGGAAGCTCAGCAGTTTTTAAAGAACAGGTATGAATTAACTATACTTAAATTGCATTGTCCCTCTTTTGAGAAAGGCGGGATAACATGATACATCCCAAACCTAGATGAAAACTTGTCCACACCTGCGAAGACAGTGTCCATATTCCAGCCCAGCCTGGCAGGACACACAGCACAGATCTATGTGTGTCAACAAGGGCTCTCCATGGTTCTTTTTCCATTACCCTTCTATGGGGTGTCCTGGTCGTTGTGCAAACCACAGCCTCTTGGGATGTGGGGTTTCAGTTCTTTAAGCTCTCAGGATCAGGTTTTGATACCTCATTGACCAGTAGGAACTAAAATTACTTTAATCCTAAGGTCCTACGACCAAAATACAATCTAAAGTGGGAAGCTCTTGACAAGACAAAAAAGACAGCAGCTGAGTAAGACATCTAAGAATCTCTTGGTGTAAGATGAGTGAAGAAAAACAAAACAGAACAGCTTGAAGTCATGGCCATGCACAACACCAGACAATACTGCATGGTTCTGGACAGTCCCAGGAAAAGAGGCTATTTCAAGAGTCACCATTCAGAGGAGGAGAATGGCAGAGCTCTTTTAGCCTCTCCATAATAAGACTATGCTCCAGTACAGTAAGCTGAGGGACCCTCTGTATTCCCAGAGCAGGGAGAGCAGAGCAGACTTGGTTTGGAGCAGCCCCACACTCTCTAAACACATAGTATGAGCTGAAAGCATTTAAAGGAGAGTAAAGAGTTGAGTGAGAATGATAAACTGGGGGCAGAAAAGGCATACAGTATTCATAGACTTGAAAGCAAGGAAAAGAAAGGAGCTCAACAGAAGGCTGTGAGTTAAAAAAACATACAGAAGAAAAAAGATACTATGTGTGGTACTTACCCAATAGTAGGGCTAATATTGTGGTCAAAGTGGTCTTGGACAAATCGACAAACAATGCTTGATTTCCCAACCCCAGTATCCTGAAAATAAAGGAAAGCATGGCAGTGAGTTCAGAGGAGCCTCCATATCAACACTTCACCTTAAGAAATAGCCCAATATAAGATGAGAAATTAAATCCCCTCTTGTGGCCAGTGGGGCAGGTTAAACATTTCAAAAGAAATGTGAGCATAAGGATTACCCTTTTCAAAGGTCAGCATTGTGAATGGAGCTCCCTGGTCCTCTTCCCAACACTCCTTCCTCTCCAAACCTTGTGTGGTTTTGGGTGGATTTTACATTCCTGGTGCAAGGACTGCAGTACTTCAAGCACAGCCATTTACTTGCACAAGAAAATCCTGTGCTTTCAGAGACATGGCACATTACCCAGCAAAGCCAGAGAAATAATTTCATTCTGGCCTGTTGCAAGGTCAGCCCAAGTATGCTCCCAAAACAGATTGCTAACACCAAACAACACCAACAGTTCTAACTTAGTGGGATAAACCTTTTCATGGCAAGATACACAAGCCTGCTTGGTGGAAACTTTGCAGAGACTTCAGGTGGTTTTTAAAAGGCAGAAATCCAAAGATGTAGGTCCCCAGAGCTATCCACATGCAGGTTGTGTTACTAGACTGCAGTGAAATAGCATTACTTTAAATGCAACACAACCTGCTCTATACACTGCAGTGTGGCAGACTGCTTTCATTTGCAGGAACAGTCTTTTTTTCCTCTCCCCACAATCAGAAAGGAAAAACAACAGCAGTACAGTACTGGAATAAAATTCAGAATAACCTGGGAGTGGGGGAAAGCCTGGCATTATACAGAAATACTAATTTAGGCAATTAAGATATCAACAACTCCCCCAGAATTCGGCATTTTTCAGTTTGCCTCTGTTATTCACAAAGCCTTGGATGACAAGTAGAACAACTTAAATTATACAGGGATTTATCAAGGAAGAGGAATAGCAATATTGCTGTCTCCCACAGAATTGCAAAGAGCCTCCTTAGAGATGAAAAGGATGCCAGGAAATCGATCCTGACCTTTCCAAGACATTAACAATGACAGCCCAGGGTCCAATCTAACTCATTAAAAAGTCAACAGAAAGTTTTCTATTAATTTCATTGGAAGTGATTGCAGAACTACCACACTGCACCAGGCAGTTCCATTCGAACCCACATTTTAGGACACTCGACTAATTTACACAAACCTCTCAGAAAGTGCCAGGACAAGACAATACAGTTTGTTGAGAGCACCATGCACACAGCTGCATATTACAAAACGCAGGCTTTGCCCACACTTAACTACATAGATATAAAAAATTAAAAAAGGCTTTGCCTTTCCTGTAATCAACTTTCCAGTATTTCATCTTCTTTTTGAATATGAAAACAAAGCCTGTACTAAGATTTCCTTTCACCATGCTTAAATGAAACTATTGCCACTGCAAGCCAAGTCTTCATAGACACCACTTATTAGAAAACTGTCATTTAAACTCTCATATTTAATTCAAAGCTGTCCTTAGTCAGCTTAAAAGCCCTAATAAATGTTCATGCTACACAGACGGTTGTTTATCTACCGTGTTCAATCAATAACGAAAAAAAGATCTAAGAGAGGACCAGTGTATAAAAACAGCCACGTAGCCTTTGATCAACAGCAGCAACACATCCTGTTGCTATTCCCAAATTTGGCCTTCACTATCAATTCCAGCTAACATCTCTGTATAATTACTACACCAGGGTGCCAAAATACATTACAAAAAGTCCTCTGCACCAAAACTGAGGATCTAATTATTATTCCAGATTTTAAATGTTGTGGAAAAACCAGAACTACCATCCACTGGGTGTGAGAAATTACATTTCCCTCTTGTGGGGAGACAGACTTTCTGCCACTGTATTCTAAACTATGCATTGACTCCCATGACCTGATGATGCTTTAGTTTCATCTGCATCCCTCGGTTCCCTTGACAGGTCACTCAGAAGGGCAGCTGCAATTACAGCTCCTGAACAAAAGGAGCTGATTCTCTGGCAGAGATGTGACATCCACAAGTGTGGATTAAAGCTTAGCTCATTTTCCTGGAAACTCTTACCTCTTCATCTTTCATGGCTCTTACTAACGTTTCATGATAATGTTAAAGGAACTTTAAACATATCTATTGCTCTCGCATCCCTCACAAGGAGCATGGCTAGAGTTAAGCATACACCAGGCATACCAATAGCCCTCAAGAAGCTGAAAGGCATTCGTACACTTTGCTCCTGGGGTTGCTTGGACTACTGAGAGAGCTAAATTTAACCTTTGTGTAACTCCAGTGAAAGCAATGGATTTAGACCACAAACAAACCTGGTTTTAGGGTGACCACTGTTGCAGCCAATGGTCAGTGCTTTCCAGGAGCCAGGCAATTTATCGCACCAAGGTGTTCAGTTAAACGAGCACTCCCAGCTTCTGTTTTGTTTCCTGGATGATACAAACAGCCAGCTATAGGAGTCTAATTAAAGCACAGAGGGGAAGGAAGTGAAAGAGAAAAAGCTTCCTACTTAAGGCAGTGATTATCATTCCATCACAGGATCTGAAACTACCAAGGCAGTCCATGTGACTGTACTCGCACCCATCAAACAAGACCCTCACTTGTCTGAAAGCAAAGCAAATCATGGTGTATGAACATGATATAACTCGAAAACTTAACAGAAATCTTTCACTGCTAACCTGACCTTATCTTTTACTGACAATAGGGAACTATCAAGTCAATCTCACAGAAGTCAAGGAAAGCAAGGTTGCTTCAAAGAAGTAGAAAAGGCATTCATCCTCAGCAATGCGTTGAAATTAAACCTCCTTGCTAAGGCTGTACAAAGCTTTCCTGCTACCATCTGCTTTGTCCTTTACTATATGGTCTTCCTCTACATGCATCTCTTTCCCTAACATCTGAGGGACTGATCAGTTTTGTTCCTTTTTCTTCAAACAATTGTAACAGAGTTACCAAGCCACATGCCTGTGTAATATTTAGGCATGCAGAGAACTGATTTTTCTTAGTTCTCAAAGTTCTGCTTTTTACCAGATTTCTACATGCTCCAGTCATTTTTTCTTTTTTGTTTTGCTCCATGTTGGTGTATATAAAACATCAAACATACACCAAGGAATAACATTTTGTCTTATCTAAAAGGTCACACTGGTATGGAGTTGAGTGGATTGGACCAGTTTCAGAAACTGAGAGCATGATCTCAGGAGTTACATCCCGCTTTAAGGAACAGATACTGCAATTCTCCAGAAAAATCCTTACCCATGGAAAATCCAAGGGTTTCAGCATTACTAACTGACTCATCACAATCAAGAGCACACTCCATGAAAGGAGTGTCAAGAAAGGAGTGAGTATAAAACAATTATTCTGAATCAAGAAGTTCGCGATGCATTTGATAACCCACTCATGGGACCAACTGCATGCTTTGCTTTTCTCCTTTCTTCTCCAGAAGCCTTGTAGGACACTTACAAAATACCAGTTATAAACAGCATTGTACCAAGATAAGCAAAAGGAGTGGGGAGGAAGGAAAGGAGTAAAAATATAATCCACCGTAAGTAAATTGCTATTACTTCACCACAAGTAGCTACAACTTCAGAATCTCCCACTGGTCAGCAAAATGGATTTGGAAATCTGAAACCGTATCAGATGATTCTGATAAATATGAGGAACCAGTGCAAGCATGACTATTTCCTGATTTTTACCCGTTAACCTGAAAAGACAATTTCTGCTCTTCCAAATTCCATTACTCACAGATTGAGGCGGGAGGATTTTCAGAGCTCTAGAATGGAGAGCAGCGTGCCACAAAACACAGTGATTCCACCCACACTCCTGCTCATGGAGAACCACCCCACTTGGCTCTTCTCAGCTCTCATTACTGTAAAGGAGATGAGACAGTATTTCAAGCCAGCAGAATTGCAGGATGCTGGCAATTCATTTGCAGGCAATCAACGACTGAGCTGCTGATTTCTTCTGGCTGATTTGCAGCAGCACAGAGGAAGATTATATAAAAAAAAAAAAAAAAAAAGAAAAAAGGGAAAAAAAGAAAGCAGAAGTTCAATACGAGCAATATATCAAAAAAGAAAACCATTTTCCCATTACAAGTAGGCAGTTGGTATATTCCTCTGTTCATTGTTTCAGATGCATTTATTCTGACAGAAAAACTAATGCAGAAAAATTTAGCTCTTTAATTTAAATTTGGATGCCTCATTTATATCTTTGCACAGCCACAAGACCCAGTTCTCCAAGCACTCTCCCAAATTGAAGGGAATCCTGTAAACACGTCCCTGATTAGGATTCTAGTCTTTAGCCTTAGTATTATAATAGCTTTTAATAGATTCAGATGGGTCAAGACCTATTGTGCTGAACAAACTAAACTCTTCATGTAAATTCTGTTTACATCTGAAACAGAATAAATGATGAATTCACAAAAAATTCACACATATCGTGACTGATGACTAAACAGCAGCCCTATAATTATGCACACTGCTGCAAGAGCTTTTTTAGCCTTGACTACGCAGACTATGTTAACACATAGGGCATTTTTAATATATATGGAATTGGGAAAAAAACATGCAAAAATCCTTTTATGACTCTAGGATTTTGAAAAAGTAAATAAAACAAGAATTCTAGACAGTACTTCACATGAGGAAATGGCACATTCACATAAGAATGGATATGCTTGGTTCTCCCTTCTGTCCTCCCACTTGCGAAGTAAGAAAAAAATAAAAGAACATCTGGTTTGTAACCACCACAGATCTCATGACTAACTTCCCATTTCAGATCTAAAAGAGGCTTGAGATACCCTGGAGATGGGTGCCACAAAAGTCTGCATTGAGAAGTAATGGAGAACTGATCTCTATAAAACAGGGATCCAACACACGGCTCCTTCAGAAAGATCGGAGTATTCCCATCAGCTTAGATAAAGCCAGGATTCAATCCATGGTATTTCAATTTGTATAGATTTTTACAAATTGAAAGTGTCTGTCTCTCGAAAGCATTGCTTGTAATAACCAAGATTCATTGAGACACGATCTACAGGGA